ATATGTCAATACCAATCTCCCTATTCATCACACCACCACCACCCCCCGCCGCTTTCCCCGCTTGTTGTCCATACGTTTGTCCCCTACATCTCTGTCTCTATTTCTGCCCTGCAGACTGGTTCATCTGTACCATTTTTCTAGGTTCCACATATATGCGTTAATATATGGTATTTGTTTTTCTCTTTCTGACTTACTTTACTCTGTATGACAGTCTCTAGATCCATCCATGTCTCTACAAATGACCCAGTTTAATTCCTTTTTATGGCTGAGTAATATTCCATTGAGTATATGTACCACATCTTCTTTATCCATTTGTCTGTCAGTGGGCATTTAGGTTGCGTCCATGACCTGGCTATTGGAAATAGTGCTGCAGTGAACACTGGGGTGCATGTGTCTTTTTGAATTATGGTTTCCTCTGGGTATATGCCCAGTAGTGGGATTGCTGGGTCCTATGGTAGTTCTACTTTCAGTTTTTTAAGGAACCTCCATACTGTTTGCCATAGTGACTATATCGATTTACATTCCCACCAACAGTGCAAGAGGGTTCCCTTTTCTCCACACCCTCTCCAGCATTTGTTGTTTGTAGATTTTCTGATGATGCCCATTCTAACTGGTGTGAGGTGATACCTCATTGTAGTTTTGATTTGTATTGCTCTAATAATTAGTGAGGTTGAGCAACTTTTCATGTGCTTCTTGGCCATCTGCATGTCTTCTTTGGAGAAATGTCTATTTAGGTCTTTTGCCCATTTTTGGATTGGGTTCTTTGTTTTTTAAATATTGAGCTGCATGAACTGTTTATATATTTTGGAGATTAATTCTTTGTCTGTTGCTTTGTTTGAAAATATTTTCTCCCATCCTGAGGGTTGTCTTTCCATCTTGTTTGTAGTTTCCTTTGCTGTACAAAAGCTTTGAAGTTTCATTAGATCCCATTTGTTTATTTTTGTTTTTATTTCCATTACTCTAGGAGGTGGATCAAAAAAGATCTTGCTGTGATTTATGTCAAAGAGTGTTCTTCTTATATTTTCCTCTGAGAGTTTTATAGTGTCCAGTCTTACATTTAGGTCTCTAATCCATTTTGAGTTTATTTTTGTGTATGGTGTTAGGGAGTGTTCTAATTTCATTCTTTTCCATGTAGCTGTCCAGGTTTCCCAGCACCACTTATTGAAGACTGTCTTTCTCCATTGTATATCCTTCGGTTTGTCCTATATGGCCTTTATTATGTTGAAGTAGGTTCCCTCTATGCCCACTTTCTGGAGAATTTTTATCATAAATGGGTGTTGAATTTTGTCAAAAGCTTTTTCTGCATCTATTGAGATGATCACATGGTTTTTATTCTTCAGTTTGTTAATGTGTATCGCATTGATTGATTTGCATATATTGAAGAATCCTTGCATCCCTGGGATAAATCCCACTTTATCATGGTGTATGATCCTTTTAATGTGTTGTTGGATTCTGTTTGCTAGTATTTTGTTGAGGATTTTTCATCATGGATTATCATCAGTGATATTGGATTTATCATCAGTGATATTGGTCTGTAATTTTCTTTTTTTGTAGTATCTTTGTCTGGTTTTGGTATCAGGGTGATGGTGGCCTCATAGAATGAGTTTGGGAGTGTTCCTTCCTCTGCAATATTGTGGAGGAGTTTGAGAAGGATAGGTGTTAGCTCTTCTCTAAATGTTTGATAGAATTCATCTGTGAAGTCATCTGGTCCTGGACTTTGTTGGAATATTTTTAATCACAGTTGCAGTTTCATTACTTGTGATTGGTCTGTTCATATTTTCTATTTCTTCCTGGTTCAGTCTTGGAAGGTTATACCTTTCTAAGAATTTCTCCATTTCTTCCAGGTTGTCCATTTTATTGGCATAGAGTTGCTTGTAGTAGTCTCTCATGATGCTTTGTTTTTCTGTGGTGTCTTGTAACTTCTCCTTTTTCATTTCTAATTTTATTGATTTGAGTCCTCTCCCTCTTTTTCTTGATGAGTCTGGCTAAAGGTTTATCAATTTTGTTTATCTTCTCAAAGAACCAGCTTTTAGTTTTATTGATCTTTGCTATTGTTTTCTTTGTTTCTATTTCATTTATTTCTGCTCTCATCTTTATGAATTCTTTCCTTCTACTAACATTGGGTTTTGTTTGTTCTTCTTTCTCGAGTTCCTTTAGGTGTAAGGTTAGATTGTTTATTTGAGATTTTTCTTGTTTCTTGAGGAAGGCTTGTATTGCTATAAACTTCCCTCTTAGAACTGCTTTTGCTGCATCCCATAGGTTTTGGATCGTTGTGTTTTCATTGTCATTTGTCTCTAGGTGTTTTTTGATTTCCTCTTTGATTTCCTCAGTGATCTCTTGGTTATTTAGTAACATATTGTTTAGCCTCCCTGTGTTTGTGTTTTTTATGTTTTTTTCCCTGTAATTGATTTCTAGTCTCATAGTACTGTGGTCAGAAAAGATGCTTCATGTGATTTCAGTTTTCTTAAATTTACTGAGGCTTGATTTGTGACCCAAGTTGTGATCTCTCCTGGAGAAGAACTGTTCCATGTGCCCTTGAGAAGAAAGTGTAATCTGCTGTTTCTGGATGGAATGTCTTATAAATATCAATTAAATCTATCCGGTCTATTGTGTCATTTAAAGCTTGTGTTTCCTTATTAATTTTCTGTCTGGGTGGTCTGTCCATTGGTGAAGTGAGGTGTTAAAAGTCCCCCGCTATTATTGTGTTACTGTCGATTTCCTCTTTTAGAGCTGTTAGCAGTTGCCTTATGTATTGAGGTGCCCCTATGTTGGGTGCATATATATTTATAATTGTTATATCTTCTTGGATTGATCCCTTGATCATTATGTTGTGTCCTTCCTTGTCTCTTGTAGCATTCTTTATTTTAAAGTCTATTTTATCTGATATGAGTATTGCTACTCCAGCTTTATTTTGATTTCCATTTGCATGGAATATTTTTTTCCATTCCGTCACTTTCAGTCTGTATGTGTCCCTAGGTCTGAAGTGGGTCTGTTGTAGACAGCATATATATGGGTCTTGTTTTTGTATCCATTCAGCGAGCCTGTGTCTTTTGGTTGGAGCATTTAATCCGTTCACGTTTAAGATAATTATTGATATGTATGTTCCTATTACCATTTTCTTAATTGTTATGGGTTTGTTTTTGTAGGTCCTTTTCCTCTCTTGTGTTTCCTACCTAAAGAAGTTCCTTTAACATTTGTTATAGGGCTGGTTTCATGTTGCTGAATTCTCTTAGCTTTTTCTTGCCTGTAAAGCTTTTGATTTCTCCATAGAATCTGAATGAGATCCTTGCTGGGTAGAGTAATCTTGGTTGTAGGTTCTTCCCTTTCATCACTTTAAATATATCATGCCACTCCCTTCTGGCTTGTAGAGTTTGTGCTGAGAAATCAGCTGTTAACCTTATGGGAGTTCCCTTGTATGTTATTTGTTGTTTTTCCCTTGTTGCTTTCAGTAATTTTTCTTTGTCTTTAATTTTTGTCAGTATTATTACTATGTGTCTCAGCGTGTTTCTCCTTGGGTTTATCCTGCCTGGGGCTCTTTGCGCTTCCTGGACTTGGGTGGCTATTTCCTTCTGAATTCTTTTTCTGGAAGGTTGCCTATCTCCACTTCATTTAGTTGTTTTTCTGGGGTTTTATCTTGTTCCTTCATCTGGTACAAAGTCCTCTGCCTTTTCATTTTGTCTATCTTTTTGTGAATGTGGTTTTTCTTCCACAGGCTGCAGAACTGTAGTTCTTCTTGCTTCTGCTGTCTGCCCTCTCAGTAGCAATTATTCTTAATGATAAAGTATTAGGGAGTGTATACTTCAGAGGAGCCTAGATATAGATATTCTCATAGTGCCTTATGCACATTAGGTACTCAGTAACTGTTGAATGAATGAATGCATACAAGCTAACCTGCCTACCCTGGGTTAGATTTTGTTCTGAAGAACAGAACTTTAATAGAGGAGGTACTATGTAAGAAAACCCATTAGATTAAGAGTCCAAAAACATGGGTTTTAATTCTAACTCTGTTCTTCATTTAACTTTGTAATTTTGGACAGGCCATCCTACTCTTCCAAGTTTTAATTGGAATTTCTCAAATATAAAATGAAAGACTTGAGCAAAAATAATTAGATGATCTTTAAGGTTTTTCCCACTTACAGGTGCTGTACAATATCTTAACTGACCTTATTTACCCTCTCCACATTCATGAACCCCTTCCCTCCCTCTTTAAAGCAAACCACCTTATCCCCACATCACACTGTCCACTCCTGTGCTCTTTAGAACTCCTCCACCTGTCTGCTCCCACCAGTTGAGTCATTGCCTTCCAAGAGCCAACTGTGTTTATCCCTAAACTGTTTATGCTAGTTTTACTCATTGTTGCATTTATGTTATTTAATTTAATGTTATACTAACTGATGAAATCTGAGTATAAAATAGTCTTTTCTATGAGAACTAGTTTCATAAAGTTGAGTTTCTAAAAAAAAAACTACTGAATTAGATTTAAGTGAGACAGCTGAAAAGATGAGGGGTTGTGTAGAAACCTAGGAGGATTCTGAACTTAGATTACTTTGCAAAATTCTGATTTCTCTCACTTCTTTGAAGACATTGATACCGAATATTTCAGTTTCAGCTGATACTGAATATTTCAGTTTCAGCTTCAGACGGTGCAATAATGACTAAATCCAGCTATAAGCCCCATACTCAGAGAAGAAGCCTTCCTACACGAAATAGCTAATGAATGTACTTTGTGTTGAAATAAAAGATTACCTCTTTTTATGATTCTCCACTTGAAAAAATCAGCTTCTTTGGTTAGTAGACCAAGATCCTATGAGGGAAGAGGCCTTTTACTGTTCTGTGATCTCTATAACATTGTAGGCCTTTTACAAAATAAGTAGTAATCATCCTGTTTTAGGTCATATTAGTACTTTTTATTTGTAAGGTTTCTGTTTATATGAGATCTATGTTAAATACTTTTCTCTATATCTCATTAAAACCCAATTTTTATTCTGTTTCCTTCACAGAACATCCAGAAGATCCTTGGCCTTGCCCCTTCACGAGCCGCCACCAAGCAGGCAGGTGGATTTCTTGGCCCTCCACCTCCTTCTGGGAAATTCTCTTGAATTTAAGAAGAACCCTATAATTCCTGTCATTCTTTTTAGACACTCAAATAAGACCGGCAACTATTTTGTAGCAAGAGCCATAGGCAGCCTTAGCACTTGGGCCACTTTCTAATTTTGAGTTATTTCTAGGTTTTTTTGGATATGATTCGAATGAGAATGGCACTCAACAAACATGATAGTGCTTTTGGTCACAGATTAATTTTTTTTAAACAAGTGTTTTGATTAGATAAGCACAGGTGATGTTTATGTAATGAGAAACAAATTCTTATTTTGCTTACACAAATATTTCTGTGGGATCAACTTTCAAGTATGTGCTGTGTGCCATGTACCATGGAAGTTGGCTCTCTATGAGCATTTAGAGATCTGGAAGAAAAATTTAGTTTATGTAACTCTTATTTGGAACAATTTGTTGTGTGTTTTTTTCAACCCAAATATATGACCTGAGATCAATAAAAGAGGCCAAAATTTTAGCTATTTCATCTACAAGGAGAGACGTGTTTTGTTTTGCCATATTTCTAGATACATATTTTTAGTAATCTGAACATAAGGGAAAACATTGGCGAGGAAGGGGCAATGCTGTTTTTGTTTTTTCTCGCCCGTCCCCCCCTACCCTGGGGCAATGTTTAAATGTAATATTTTATCATACTTGCTTCATATGCTCAAAATACAGAGTTGCCCTGTTATAGGAATTCTAAAGCATGAGAGGAAAGGAAGGTAATAACTCACGGGAGTATAAAAATGAGGGTCCTCAGCAGTTTCCTTCATACCCTAGTACAATCTGTTGGATTCTTGGGAAGGCACTCAGTCCTCCCCTGGAGGCAAGGTTATGGTTATTTGTGGTTAATCTTGCAGACCTTCCTTGTAGTCACAGTGGCCTTCGGTTCCTGCCCTGCTCCTTTGTAAAGGATGAGGGGATGTTTATACCATGATCTCCCCCCCCCCCGCCCCCGAATCCATGGAATTAGAAATCTTATGTGGAGTGATAACTCTAGTACTAAATGTTTACTTTTATCAGTAGTGTCCTTAGATGCATGTATTCTACCAGTGAGAAAGGTACATTATTTGCAAAGTAACAACTGTTAAACCAACAGCAAACTTTTCAATGGCATCAAGTCCAGAAGACAGTGGGATAATATTTTGAAAGCTGGGGAAAATAATTATCAACCTAGAATTTTATGTACAGCTAAACCAGAAGTTTGGGAGCAAAACTGGGGAAAATATTTTCAGAGCTACAAAATCCAAGATAGTTGAATTATTAAAGGGTATATTTCAGGGACGGGGAAGAATACCAGGGGGAAGGTGTGGGATCGAAGAATCGATGGTCAACACAGAAATTGATAAAATATATGGATAAATTTAAATATTTTATGGATTATCTAGTTTAAGCATTATCTCGAGACAACCCCACAAAGTAATTACTGTTCTTGCCCTCATTTAACAGATGAAGAAACTGAGGCAAGAGAGGTTAAGTAACTTGCTCAGCATCCCTTAGCTAGTGAGTGGCAGAGTTAGGATTCGAACCCAAGCAGTTTAAAGCCATGTAGTCCAGGCTCTCAAATGCTATGTTGTATTATAACATCCCAATATAGCATGTGGTGAGTCTCTTCCCATCTCTTTCCCTTATCTCCTCAGCTAGAGTATATGAGCTCTAAAGTTGAGGCTTTGTCTTTTTTGGTTGTTGTTCTTGTTTCCTCAAAGCCATCACGTGGGTGGGAGGGAGCACAGCAGGAGCTCATTGAAAGCAGATGAAATGGAACAGAAATCTCTATTGCAAGGTTACCTTTATCAGAAAAGATGCCTGATAATGGATAGTGATAACTTCTAATGGTCTTTTCTCCATGTCATTAACTGTTCCAGGCAAAATAATAATTAAAAGGGTGATAAAGAAGGAAATGATGATCACGATAACAATGATGAGAAAATGATGGAATATCTAAAATAAAGCATAAAAAGAGAAGAAACCACACTCAAAATTCTGCTGTTACCTTGTAAAGTGAAAATATATAGTTCATCCTCCCATCAGCCCTCTTAGGTTTTGAAGCTGGTGCTTTCTAATCAGATTTCTAATGGATGTTGAGGTTTTCATAAAGTATATTTCAGTGGAAGAGGGTAAATAAGAGGGAGAAGTAAAAAAGGAGAAGGAAGGAGGAGAGAGAACATCTATTCACCCTATTCCTAAAAGGACACAATAGCAGGGATGTATACAGAGGAAACAGAGCTATCACATCACAAGAATGTAAACTCAAGGAGATACTAAGGGCTACTGTAGCCTCACAGTTAGCTTTTTAATTTACTTGCCCTGAAAAATTTTCAAGACTAGTCATTTGGATGACTCTAAATCCAGACCATCACTGAATTAGTGGAGATGACATTTCAAGCCAGAGAAGCCTCTGAACAGCTCTCAAAACACGTGATTTGGCTACTTTGCTTATGTAAAGGGTAGATTGTCCCCTTCCTAGTTAAAAAAAAAAATCAAGCATTATTAATATTTACCTTAGGCTACTCAGGTTGTGCTCATAATATACTTAGTAGTAAACTTTTTAAAAATTCAGGTAAACCTAAATTTATTAACAGATAAGACTTCAAAATCTAAGCCAGTTTGAAACCTGGAAAGCAAATGAGTGTACTCATATGCCTTTGACCAGATTGTGGTTCCTCTTCTCTCATTTGAAAATTATTCTCTTCAGTTTGTCTAGTAATTTAAAATGACATCAGTGGGTTGATGAGCATCCAGAATTTTCCCTTACATCCAAATCAAAATCATTTTGTCACAGGCTAGTGTGTCGTAGGGTTTTTTCAACATAACTTAAACTTATATTGTGTATTTCAGTCCTGCCCTTCAATACAAGTAAAAGCACCATATACTTTCTCCTTTTTTGGATTAATTCTGCTTAAGTTACAGTCTTTTATTTTCTTTGAATTTACTTCTTGCTTTGAGTTTTAAAGCTTTTTAGAATGGGGAAAAACCTCAAAAATAAATGAAAGTTAAAAAAATGTATAAAGAACACCCAGATACTGATTATTCATCTTCAGCAATTAATTAATGGCCAATCTTCTGTCTACCTGTTCTTCTATTCTATTCCTCTTATATTATTCTAAAGCAAATCCTAGGCATTGTATCTTTTACTCATAAACGTTTCAGGGCTTTAAAGAATATCTATATCTCTATATATGTCTCAGTACCATTTTCACACTTTAAAAAATTGGCAATTCCTTGATAGGATAATTGTCTATAGATGTCAAAATTTTTTACAGTTTTTTTGAATCAGTTGGTTGACAAGCGTTGTAAATCTCTTCTAATCTATTATCGTGGTTCTCAAACTAGAATACATCAGAATCACCTAGAAGCCTTAAAACACAGACTGCTGGGCCCTACTGCAGAGTTTCTGATAAGACTGCAGTGTAGCTTGAGAACTTGCACTTCTAACAAATTCCAGGGTGACGCTGATGTTGGCTGGTTTGCAGTCCACTCACATTTTAGTTCTGCACTCTCTCTCTTTCTTTTCCCCCCTTGTAATTTATTTGTTGAAGAAACTGCATTGTTTCCCCTGTAGGGTTTCCCTCAGTTTGAAATTTGCTGATTGCATGCCTGTTTTACACACTGTTGCTTGTCTCTTTTTGTAATGTTAGCTTTTGCTAATCACTAATTACTAATAATTAGGGATTGAAAAATTATGATACTCTACTATCTCTTCATTTATTAGGTAAAAGTACCTCTATAGGTAGAAGCATCCCTTCATATACCGTTTGGTTACCCAGTGTTAAATTTTATAGGAAAGGCAGACTAAATGCGTGATTATCTGGTTTTCAAAATAATGAGCTGTTCACTCTAATGCTTCAGGGGTGAACAATGTGTGTGATTAGCAGTTCATAGGTTTAAACATACTTGATTCATTTCAGTTCACTGAAGTTATTTTTCTTGCGGATGCTCAAATTGTCCTATTTTTGGCCAGCGAGAGGCTCTTTAAGCTGGCTCCTGGGACTGTTTGACATGACCCTAGTTTTCATTGGTGGCATTCTTGCTAAGTGATATGACAAGATGTTCCAGGGCCACCTCATATTTCCTGCCTGAGCAGAAGGCAACACTTTCTTCAAGGAGGCCTGATTATTTTTACTGGGGAATGGTATTTGGAGACTGCAGTCAGAGCATAAAGATGCTCGTTGAGACAGGGTTAGTAGGTTTCTAGGCCCTTTTTGTGGACTAAGATAGGTAATACGTTTTGTTGTTGTTTTAAGATAAAATGCATCATGCGTTTATACCAGTACTCTATGCCCCTCTTAAATTCCGAGCTACAGAGTTTTTCCTTAATTTCTTTAACCTGTGTCTCTCTTAATTCTCATGCTAAGAATTCCAATTTTCATTGCCAGAAATGATGGAATATCATATACTTAGTCTTTAGCATAATCCCACAATATCCACCCAAAAGTCCCAGATTATCAATACCAACATTACTACCAACAATATAATTACTGAAAATAATTGAAGTTTTTTTGGGGGGAGAGTGGGGGGAGGTTCTTTAAAATACATCCCACTCCAGGTATACAGTCAGATTACTGAAATTGCAGATTATCTGGAATAGTTTCTTTTTTGAGTTTCTCATTCATGTCCTCATCTCTGTCCCCTAAATTTCCCTGAAGTAGCCTCCCACGTAGTCTCCTTTACTCTGGTCTCTCCTGGCTCATCATCCATCCTGTAAAGTCAATAATCTTTCTAAAATATAAATCTACTTGTGTTGCTCCTCCAAGGAAAGTTGTCCACCGGCTCCCAGTAACCTGTAAGTAAATGTAGACTATTTAGCATAGAAAATCATCCTAGTCTGGATCTCCAGCCTCTCCCACCCCTAGGATCTACCCTTCTCCCATCCCTGTCTCGCATACATCCTAGGCTCTAGTCAAGCAAATTTATTTTTTAAATTCTGCATTTTTCACATTTTTAGACTTTATTACCTTTGTTTTCTCTGCCTGAAATATTCTTCCTCTTATTTGCCTGATTTTCTCATGTTTCCTTCTCAACTCAACTCAAGCATGTCCTCCTCCTAAAGGTTTTCTCTGACCTTTATGTGTTAGGTTTCTTTTCCCTGTATCTGTTTCAGCTTTTCATATGAGTCATTTATTAAAAATGGGCAAATCTCTTAACTGTCTAAGCCTCAATGGCCTCGTCTGGAAAATGGGATGAACACTCCAGTTAAAACTGTCATATCCAACATCACTCATCTGAGTCTTCAGCTAGATTCTCTTAGTTCCCTCTGAAAACCCTGCTGCCTGCTGCCCACAGCACACTGGACACTCTCAGCCGCACGTATGCACTTTAGCTCTTACCAGGGAATTGTATAACGTTACTTGTTTTACTTGTTAATTTTAATTATGTACACTAAGTATTGTGTAAATTAATGAAATATGAATGCAAAAAAGAGAATTGTGTCCATGAAAACTAGTTTGAATGGTTTGGAATGACTCAATAAAAGCAAATTGCTAAAAATAATTGCTTT